GAATAAAATGATAAAAATTAATAAGATAAACATAATAAAATAAAATATAAAAAAATATTAATATATTTATTTTATTGGATATAATAACATAATTAAAATATAATTAATAATATATATTTTATAAAATTATTAATATTTTATATATAAAAAAATAAAATAAAACCGGAACGGCCCGTTCTGAAACTGGAACGGGCCGTTCTGGTGTATTTTGGGTATGTTAATTTTGCACTTGAAACGGGGCGTTCCGGATGCAAAATTAACACACCAAAAGTACACCCAGAACGGCCCGTTCCGGTTTCAGAACGGGCCGTTCTGGGTCCAGGGATTTTAACGGGCCGTTCTGGGTCCAGGTGTTTTCAAAAAAATTCTCGTCCACGTGGATGCCACGTATGCATCTACGTGGCGTCCACATGGCCAAAAGTTAACACCGTTAAAGCAATTTAGACGGAAAGTCCCACATTGAAACCAATTAATTAATTTAGGACTAAATTGAAACCAATTAATTAATTTGAGACCAAATTAAGACAAAAAATTAATTAGAGACTAAATTGAAACAAAAAAAGATTATAAGGGACCAAAATAGAGTCTTAACCATAATTTTATAAAACTTCAATAGATGTTAGTGTACTATATTCTACACACATTTCAGTTAGTGACTATTTGAGTTAAATTATATAATTCGGTTTTTATATATTTTAAAAAAATAAATAATCAATATTTAAAAATTTAGAAGTACATAATATATTATAATATATTGAGTAAATCAATTACATTAAAAACCTCTCAAGTTCTATTAATATTGGATATAATTAACGGTGGAAAAAGATATAAAAATTACAGTAAGGTATCTTTTACGATATACATTTGAAATAGATATTATTTTAAATATAATATATATCATATTATACAAAATATTATTCACTAAAAAATAATTTTATTATTAATACATAATTCTTAAAAAATACTTTTCTTTTAAAAAAGAAGAACATTAAGAACAATTCTAACGAGAACAACTCATATAAATTGATTAGTAAATTTAAAAATTTGTTTGGTGATTCTCATTATATTATGTTTTTATTAAGTAATTTATATTCAATTTTGTTCTCATAAAAAAACAATTCTAAGGAATTTAAGACAAATTCATACCTCACCAAAAGTAGAGCAATGTTAAAGCTAGGTCTCATATTTGAAACAAATTCATCTATAAATACTACTCTATGTTTATTTTTAAATATAAATAAATTTAACTATTTACACATCATTTAATGATATTTTCTCTAACTTATACTTTTTTTTGTATTTATAATAAAAATAATTTAGGAAGAATCTTACAAGAATAATAAAATTTAAAGTAAATAATTAAATTTATTAAAAATTATAAATTATGATTGTTCTCATTTCTTATTTATAAATTAAATAGTGTGTCAATACTTCTCTTAATTTATTGGTTCTAGGCCTAAATTATGTTAAATAATGTGTCGTCAGTAATAGTTTACTTTGTTAGTACTCCCTTTCATTTATCAAAAAAAAAAAAACTTGTTTTTTAATCCATTATATATTTTTTGTCCATTAAAAGCAAGTATTTACTATTTATCGAATGTAGGCCAGGGTTTGAGTTCGGAAAGTAGGGGTGCAATAGTAATTGTGACGCTACGATAAAACAAACAAAAAATGCAGAATGATTGGGCTTTGAAAAGTCACCGTGGATCTGTAACTCAAAACAAAGAGAGAGAGTGAGAGAGAGAGAGAGAAAACGATAGACACTTGCGGCAATGGTGACTCCACAGATTCCTGGTTCATATCATAATTTCTCTCTTTCTCTCTCTTCCCTCTTGTTTACTTTAATTCTATTTATTGCTTAGGTTGATAGTATTCATATTTTTCGCCCTAGTGTGTGTGTGTTGATTGTGATGGAAGAGAAAACTATCTCTGCCTTTCTGTTTATGTTCAGATCTATGTTTTCAACATCATGAATCGTATTTGCTGTTTATAGCTACCGTCGTAAAACTACAAAGTCGTGTTTCTCGTTTTAATTTCAATTATTTTCGTGGTGAAGTCACTGGAGGCAGTGGTTCATCGATCTCTTCCTGAGTTTGGCCGTGGAAGAACACGAATCAGGAATCGGTCGATAAACCTCTGCATCCAGTGCGAAACCAACACTTTCTTTTTCTCCTTATATGCTTCTTATCGTTCTTAAGATTAGTTTGTTATGTGGCCTTCGTGTTCGCGTCTGCGATCCACTCTTCGAAACTAGTTTTGGTTTCTTGCGAGTAATTAAAGTATTACTTAGTTATAATTGAATCTATAGTGTTGCAGTTGCCAATGTTCCGATTTGTGATGATGTTGCTATGAATGGAAGGAAAAAATAAATCTAACGTAAGCTGTATTAAGCATAATGCATTGTTGTTTGTTGCTGCTAACTTTTTGAGGATTTTTCCATTTCAGTATTCTTTCGTTCTGCTGTTGGTTAACTAGTCTAAAGTGATTGAGTTTATTTTGAAAAATTAATCTCATTGTTTTTTAAACATTTTTATGAATTTTTTCGGAAAGTAATTATTTTTTGGAAAGCGAAAACAACGTATTTCCAAACAAGTAGGGAATCTTGGTGAGATTATAGTGTACTTGCAGGCGTAGATTATTCTTTTATGTTTATGTTCCATTTTTCTTTCTGTATACCAACGCATTTACCACTAATAGGAATGCGTCCCAAGCCTTAAATCTTCATCTGTGTTTAGTACTGATATTCTTGCGTGTTGGTAAGGTCTTCCTTTTCAGAAGCCTGATATGCTTGATCACATGTTTT